TGAATTTGAACCCTGATTTGTTGAGTGTTGTAGACATGAAGTATTGTCATCTGTGAAAACTTGGCAGGCTGTGAGAACTCAGTGTATATAGGACAATGAAACTAATACAAACCCTTACTTGTAAGAAAGATTATGTTTTGAGGGATCTTAATTTTTCACAATGTCATCATGTACTTCAGAGTTGTAATATGTAGAAACATTGAGGAATTTAATGTTAGGTGTTTTATTTTTTTAAAATAGAAATTGTAATGACAGTTATTTTTGTTTCCTCATTGTCTCGCTACTTATGGGCAAGAGTGTTTTAAAAGAGTGTTTCTTTGTTAATTTCTTAAAATTGTGGTGCTATAAATCCACTCCAGTTATTGTAGCTACTGTCAGGTGCTCCTTTGAGCTCTAACCCAGGCTTACTGAATTGTGTGTATATGCATATTTTGTCCTTTGTTGTGGTGCATGTTTGATATCACCACTACTTGTTAACCCAAGGCAGAGATATTGCAAACTAAGGTCAGCTCTGACAGTTCAGGTAAGTCCTAACTTAAAGCTGGAGAGGTGGGTGAATGCATTTAGTGTTAGTCTTGCTTTGCACTTTCTTGAGGCCTTGGCTTCAATCCTTAGTATTTTGAAACAAATTCTTCTTTGAGATTATGCATGTCAGTTGTTAATAACTTTCTTTTCTTCTTTTGGAGAAAGAGTTTCACTATATGCAATCCTGGCTGTCCTGGAACACACTATAGATTCGACTGGCCTGATCCACTTACTTGCCTTTGCTTCCAGAATTCTGGGATTGAAGGAACATTGGGATCAAAGGCCTGTGCCACTAGCACCCAGCAGGCACACACTATATATATCTGGCTTGATAGTACTTAATTTCAGGGGCTGGAGAAATGTGCTCAACAGTTAAAGAAAACTTGTTGCTCTTGCAGAGGACCAGGGTTCAATTCCCAGCACCCACATGGTAGCTCTTAACCATTTGTAATTTTAGTTTCAAGTGGTCCAACATCCTTATCAGTACTTTGTGAATACCAGGCACAAACATAGTACATGATTATCCACACAGGTAAAGCAGTCATACACATAAATAATGAAGTCTTAAAAAATTTTAATTTCAGCAAATTTGGTTTGTAGAAAAATTAGAGGTACAGAAGTTTTCTAAGTTAGTCTTTCACAGATACGTAGCCCCACAAGCTACCCTGATTTTTTAATACATTATTTTTCAAAGTCCATAGGTTACATTAAGGGGTAGCTGTTGTATATTTCGCAGCATTAAAATTATAACGAGATAAAGTTTATCCACCCTTATTCATATACCTTTTTTCCTGCTTTTGCTATTTAAAAAAAAAAAATGAAGTATCCTTTTTGAAAGTAATGTTGCTGCACTAGTTTTGTCTAGTATTTTCATGTTTTCCATCTCCTTTCAGTGTACTTGTTCCTTTTTTTTTTTTTTTTTTTTTTTTTTGGGTTTTAGACAGGGTTTCTCTGTATTGCTTTGAGCCTGTCCTGGAACTAGCTATGTAGACCAGGCTGGCCTCAAACTCCCAGAGATTCACCTTCTTCTTCCCGAGTGCTGGTATTAATGGCTGCCACCAATGCCCAGCTAGTGTACTTGTTCTTTAGATTTGTGATCTCAGAACATTTAAAAATTCTATCTGATGACTAGTGCTGGGGTTAAAGGTTTGTGCCACTGCTGCCTGGCTTTTCTCATTCGTTTAGAAGAAGCTTGAAGGTTGTGTATTCCTATTTTAAAGGGGCTTATTTTAAGTCCTTGACATTCCTTCTTAAGCTAGAATGACTTAACACAAATGAGGATGACTTTTATTTTATTGTTGAGTTGTTGCATTTATATTGTCCTTTATGTGTTACCTTAGTTCTCATCCTTATAGGACTTAAATAATTTTCTGCTTGCTGTGTGTAGTTACTCATACAGCTTTGGTTATTTTCTGGCTTGGGGCTTCATTTTTGGGTTTGGGGTTATAAATCCAAATGCATTATTACTGCAGCTCTTTACTTTTCTAGTAGTAGTAGTATAGGACTCATTGCACATTGAAATTTACCAAGTGAGTATGCTCTTATGCCAAATGAGTATATTTAATTTCATAGTTTGAAGTTCACATGCTGGAGAAATAACTCAGAAGTTGAAAGCACTGCCTTCTCTTACAGGGGACTTGGGGTTTGGTTTAGTACCCAGCTGTCATGTGGCAGTCCACAACCATCTATAACTCTAGTTCCAGGATAAATAACTTCTGCAGGTATCAGACACTGTGTATGTGGTACACAGACAAGCATGCATTAATACATAACGTAAAACATCTGGGTTCTGAGCCCATATCTGTTGTCTCGGCACTTAGGTAGTGGAGGCAGCAAAATTACTCCCTCAGTTACCTAGCACGTTTCAAGACAGCCTGCGGACTACATGTCTCAAAAATTAAACAAACAAAAAACAAAGTGGAAATGAGGCTATGGCTCATTTGATAGAGTGCTTGTTAGGTATGTACAGAGCCTTTACTTCAACCTTCAGTACTGTGCATGGTAGTATAATTCAAGTACTTTCCTGTCGCTTAGCACCTAAGGCAGAAGGGTGAGAATTTCAAGGCTTTGCTTCACATAATAATGATTTGAATGAGCCAAGTCTCAAAAAGTGTAACACATAAGAGCAAAACCAAAGGGGAAGATGTGTGACAAGTAAGATGCACATTAAATAGCAATTCCATATTGAAAACCTTGTAGACATTACACGGGATATAGTAACTTGTTCTCATTTTCTATCTTTTTTTTTCTTTTTATTTTTTAATGCTCACTGTAAAAATACTAAAGCTTTCCATCACTTTTGAAAGTTGCTTCTTAAATAGGTTGTAGCAATTTCATGAGTCAATGTAGTGTGAACTGGCTTTGGGGTTGCTTGAGACTTTTGTGAGTTGCTAAATTACAGTCTTGTCCCTTAGTCTATCAAATAACATTTCAGTGATTTAAAATTCTGTATATAAATAAGTATTAATAATCTTTTGTTCCTTTTTATGCTTTAGATTATTTGGCTAGGGAGTAGTATCACATCCTAAAATTATGATTTTTCTCTGGTACCAAGAGAAAGGACTGAAGTTCTTTATGAATAACTCCCCCACCCCAGTGAATTTTTGCATTGAAGATAATGCTCATTAATACCTCAGCCTCTTGAGTGCTGGGATGAGCTATCACGCTCTGGTAGTAATTTGAATTTATTGATAGTTTGCTTAGAATAAGGAAGGATAAACAATTCTGTATGGCAAATCATAAACTCATCTACTTTTTCTTGTCACAGGTAAAGTCTCAAATCCATTTAACAAATTCAGTTATCTGGCAGTGGTCAGGGTGGGATGGAGAAGTAGCTATGATTAATCTGTGTTCTTTTTTGGGGCCAGCTTTTTTAAAGTTGGAGACCCATTTATTCCCCTTGTAAATAGATTTACAGAAAGAATTGATTACCAGTTTGTTTGGACATTGTGTGGCAGTTCATTCCCGTATAGTACTATGCAAGTGAAAACAGGATTCCAGTAACCCTGTATGTAGCATGTCTGTCTCAAAAACAACAAAAATGAAAGATTTGGTTTATGATTTATTTTTTTCTTATTTTTTTTATTTTATTTTTTCAAGACAGGATTTCTCGGTGTAGCTTTGGAGCCTGTCTTGGCACTTGCTTTATAGACCAGGCTGGCCTTGAACTCACAGATCCTCCTGTCTCTCACAAGTGCTGGGATTAAAGGCGTTTACCACCATCAACTGTCACTGGGTTTATGATTTATTTTTTGAGACAGGGTCTCACTTTGTAGTTTTGGCTGTCCTAGAACTCTGTATATAATATAGTCTTCAAAGTCAGAGATCTTCCTGCCTACACCTCAGTTGGACTGGAAATTAAAGATGTGTGCCCCCATACCCAACTTGGATTTATTTAAATAAACTGTTCTGTGATTAAAGTATAGGCTTTTACAAAATTGTGTAGGTAGGTGTGTGTCTATCTGCATGTGAAGGTGTGCATTTGTGTTAAGTTTTTTTGGAGATCAGGAGAGTTGGGTTCACTGGATGGTTACAGCCTGACTGACTAGTTCTGGGAGCCAAATTCTGCTCCACAGTAAGAACAGTAACTGATCTTAACCCCTGATCCATTCTTCTAGCCCCATGTATTGGCTTGTTTTATGAAATATTTCTTGTAATTTCTTGAGAATTCCCCCCCCCCTTTTTTTTTTTTTTTTTGAACTTTACCTTTTTATACCATGCCTTGTAAGCTTAGCAAGTGTATCTGTTTCAGGATCGCTGGGACTATTGCTCAGTTTACTGTAATGAACTGCTTTCGTGGTTCTATCAAGATACTGCAATTTTAGTTTCCATCGTTAGCTACAGCAGAACCATAAAGTAGGCACGTGACACGTTGCTATTGTTATTACTAATTACTTTTGTTTTATTTTTTTTTTTCAAGGCAGGTTTTTCTGTTTAACAGCCTTAGTTGTCTGGAATTTACTCTGTAGACCAGGCAGGCCTGCCTCAAACTCAGAAATGCACCTGCCTTTGCCTACCATGTGTCACCACTGCCTGGCTACTTTTTATTATTTTTAAGGTTTATTAGTGTGTATCCATGAATACATATGAGTTGAGATCAGAGGACAACTGACTAGTTCTCTTCTTCCAACATGGTGGGTCCCAGGAATCAATCTCAGGCTTGGCATCAAGTATCGTGACCTGGTGAGCCATTTTGCTGGCTCTTAAGTTTTTAATTATTATGTATGCCTGCACCTGAGGAGGCTAAAAGAGTGCATTGAATCCACTGAGCTGGAGTACGAGTTGCCTAGTTATGGGTACTAGAAATCAAACTTAAGTCCTTTAGATGAGCAAGCAGCAAATGCTCTTAACTTATAAGCTAGTAATTCCAGCTCCAAGTTACACAATGTAATAAGGTAGTACAGCTTGGTGCGCCCCACTTTTCTTCTCTGTTGTATTGTATCTAATTATACTTTATCCTCCTTTTTATCTTTTAGTGAATGGTAGTGTCTAGAAAGGGTATGTCCCTTCAAGAGAGAGGTGCCAATGTCCAACCGGCCTAATAACAATCCAGGGGGGTCACTGCGACGTTCACAGAGGAACACTGCTGGGGCCCAACCACAAGACGACTCAATAGGAGGAAGGTATGTATTTCATGGTAACCTGAAAAGGAGTTGGGAATTCAAAAGGAATAAATTCAAAAGGACCAAAACATTGCATATGGGTCATTTCCCTAATTTCTGAGCAAAGTAATTTAAAGTGATTTCTCAGTCTTTTTCCAAATAAGTTAGGCTCCTCTAAAGTTAGTTCCCAGTTACTGATATGAAGCACTGGTTTAAGGTTGTTAGCATAAGGCATATCATGTTTTGTTTGTCTGTTGTACTTGCCTGATACATATTGCAACGTGTCATTCAGCCATTTGTGGTACTTTCCTTAAGACTGAATAATTTTACCGAAAGGCAGTTTCTTTTAGGTTTTGACATCAGCTAGAGGGTGGGTGAGTGTGGACCAGTCTTACCTGTGGACTCCATATGAACACTGAACTATGAGGCTGAAAAGTTAGCATAGCAGCTCTCTGATTTTATTGTCTGTTATTGAGCTTTTTTTTTTTTTTAATCAGTTTTCTGTTTTTTTTTTTTTTTTTTTTTTTTTTTTTTTTAAATACAGTAGCATGAAGAGTAAGATAAATTTCTTGAAAGTAAAATTATGGGTCTGATTTAGGGATGGACTGCCACTGTTTTAAGTACTCAAAACTCTACTTGTCAAGCATCGTTCTGTAATCAGATGTCAGTGGTTAGCTTGAAGTGGGTCAGAGTTGAATTCTAGTTATTTCTTGAGATAGCCATGTTTATATTGGTAAATCATTAAAAAGAAACTGAAATGTCAGATGTAATTAATGAAGTATGGTTTGTTGTGTTGACTGTAAATAGTTATGGATATGGACTTTGGACCAGGACACCTTTGTGTGTGAGTTCTACCTCTGCTGTAGAAGTTGGAAGTCTTTGGGTAAGGGTTGTAGGACAATCTTAGTTCTTCAGTCCTCTCAAGTGGGTCTGTCTGTTTCTTGGAGTTGTTGGTTATCTTAATAAATATAAAAGTTAGTGTCACACTTAGTTGTGCTTTTTTTTAAATTTTTTAATTTTTACATTTAGCATATGAAAGTTATACTTTCCTTTATGTTGATGGCTAAAAATATAGCATTACTGTTCGAGAATTTATTCCTAACATCTGTGTCATGCACGTTGATTTTTTTTTTTTTTCCGTCCTCTCTAGACAGTGTTTTTCTATATAGTTCTGGTTAACTGTAGACCAGGCTGGCCTTGAACTCAGAGCTCTGCCTGCTTCTTTCTGCCTCCCAGCATTGGGATTAAAAGTGTGATACTGTACCCCATGCATTTCACATATTGTTAAAAATGGAAAACTTCAAAGTCTTCAGCATTCAAATGCCATAATTTAGGTAGTAACAAAACATAAAGGTTCCCATGCTTAGTTTTGAAATATGGTTAAGTATAATTATGATCAGAACAGAGAATATACAAAAATAAAATAAAAATATATTAACTTCATAGTTCACTTAAAATGTTTCTTTTGACCTTGGCATGTTGTTAGTCTTTTTAAAACTGCAAGTACATGCGTTTATATTTTCATATAAGTAACTGTACATTATCATACATGAACTGTCAACATTTTGAGCCATACAAAAGCATTGCTTGCCTCTATTGTCCAAAGCATATTTTGTTCATTTGTGTGATACATCAGTGTTCTATAGAATTTAAGCAGTTTCTTACAGTGGGTGACAAGTTTACAAGTGAGCTGGTTAGAATATAGAACTTATTCCTATATTCTCAGTACCCTTGGAAGAAAGACTTCAAAATTTGATCCCATCTTGAGTTGCACAGCAAGTTCAGGATCAGTCTGGGGTATAAAACTAGAGACCTTGTCTGACCCATATCCTCCCAAAAGTTGGAAACAAATGGAAGTCATTAACTTTTTGATGAGAGTTGTATTGGTGTAAATAACTTATTTTGGGTTTTTGAGACAGGGTTTCTCTGTATTGCTTTGAAATCTGTCCTCAAACTAGCTCTGTAGACCAGGCTATCCTCGAACTCACAGAGATCCACCTGCCTCTGCCTCCCAAGTGCTGGGATTAAAGGTGTGCTCCACCAATGCTCGGCAATTTAAATAACTTTATAAGGATGCAATGATAGGAATTCTACTAAATTGTAGAATGAATGGTACATTTCTAATATAAACATTAAGAAAATAGTTCAGCATTATGTGCATCATCTATGAGTATGGGTGCACATCATCATGTTATGGTGTGTGTATAGATGAAGAAAACTTTGTAAAATAAATCACTTCTTCCACCTTCACAAATATTACAGGAATCAAACTCAGGTTGCTAGACTTGTGTGTGTCATGTACTTTTACCTGACACCATCTCCCTGGGCCCCCATGTGTTTTTAAGGTAATACTTTTTATTTATTTAGTTTACTCTTAAAGTTAAATGCTTATGTATGTGTCTGCATGTTAGTTTATGCAGGTGCTCTTGGAGTTCAGAAGAGAATGTTGAATTTATAAGTGGTTGTAAATTTTGTATTGTACGTGGTAGAAGTTTTCACTTTATCTTAATGCTGGGAACTCTTATCAAGAGCAGCAAATGCTTTGAACTCTCCAGCCCTAAGGCAATCTGTACTGTGCTTCCTTTTGAAAGAAAAAGCATAAACATTTTAAATTTTGATAATGGTGGAGTTTGTAGCATTGCCTTCCTTCACTTCTGCTAGTTTAGCTTTCATAATTTTCTTATAAAAGTTTAAAATATTACTTCTATGGGTCTATAACCTGCATGTGTGGCTGTTCACATGCGTGACTGATGTTTGTGAAGGCCAGAAGAGGGTTGAGGGACGAGTTAGGTACTTGGAACTGGAGGTAGTTATGACTCACTATTGGGTGCTGGCTTGTCTGGAGACATAGCCATTGTTTTTAATGACCAAGCCCTCTTTCCTGCTGATGCTCTTATACTTTTCAACCTTTAAGTGTATTTTAAAAAGATACTTGGAAGATTTTGTTTGTTGAAGAACTGTCTATGTATATAGTGCTTGTCTAGCATGTAAAAAGCCTTGGGTTGGATCCCCAGCTCTGTGTGAACTGGATTGGAAGTTCAGGATCATCATCTTCTATTACATAACAAGTTCATGACATCCTATTTCCAAAGCGAAATCTCAGAGTAATAAACAAGAGGTCCTATTTGTCCATCTAAGCTAAGCATCATATTTGTCATTCCTTATATCATTCATCTTGTTTAAGATATATCTGTGTTCACCTGTGTAGTGGGATAGTGATTTATTTTCTTTCTAGGTGGTTTTTGTTTGTTTGCTTTTTCATTTAGACAGGGCTTCTCTGTGTAGCTTTGGAGCCTTTCTGTAGACCAGGCTGGACTTGAACTCACAGATAATGCCTGTGTCTGCCTCTCAAGTGCTGGGACTAAGGTGTGCACTACCACAGCCTGGCCCCCTATTTTCTAGTTTTTATGTGTATAAATACAATCAAAGAAACAGCTTTAGGCCCCAAAAACTTTTGCTCCCCCCCCTCCCCCCCCCTTCTCATCTAGGTTCTTGTGCTGGTCCTCTGCTGGAAAGAATTTTTTTTTGAGTGTGTTTCATCGAAGCCCAGACTAACTTTTGCTACTATGTTCTCCTAACAATTGTCTAATCTTAAAATTCTCATGTGCGTGTGTGCCTGTGCCTGTGCGTTTTGTGAGGTAGAGGATTAAGTTTAATTTGGAAAGAGCAATTGTAGTTTGGAGATTAAATTTTCTGTTACGTGTATGCATGTGTAAATGTGCTTATGGAGGACAGAAAAGGATGTTGGGACCCATAGAGCTTCAGTTTTACAGGTGACTGTGAACTGCTGAAAGTGGTACTCCATTTAGGTCTTGGGTTTTTATTTTGTTTGTTTTCTTTCCTCCTGTCAGTACAAGGCTTCTCTGTGTAGTTTTAGCTGTCTTATAACTGGCTCTGTAGACTAGGCTGGCCTTGAACTCACAGACATCACCTGCCTCCACTGCCTGGCTATCTCTTAGACTTTTAAAAATCTGTTTGCTGTTTTCTTTCCTACAGGATTAAACTGCCACTGGTGTGTAATCTCCTTTCCAGTTAGCCTGTCCTCCTGAATCAAAAATACCTCTCAAACTCACTCTCTCATTTGTTTTTCACTTACTCAATAAGGCTTCTCTCTAGTTCAGGCCAGCTCCATTTTGAATCCCCTTGCTTATTAGCCTTTGGGTATTGGGATTACAGGCATGTGCCGGAATGTTCTGGTTAGTAACTTAACCTTTCTTCTTCTTCTTTTTTAACATTTATTTTTATTTTGCGTCTTGAGTGTTTTTTTTTTTTTTTTTTTTTTTTATTATTATGTATGTATGTGTGCCACATAAGAGGCCAAAAAAGAGGGTGTCAGAACCCCTGGGTAGAGTTTTAGATAGTTGTGATCTTCCGTTTATGTGCTTGGGAAATGAATCCTATGTCCTTATCACGAACAAGCAAGTGCTCTTAACTGAGAGCCATCACTTCAGTCCCTTTACTTTTTTAAAAGAATAATAATTTGCATTCATTCCTTTGATAAAAGAAAAGTCTTCTGATTGTTCCCTTTTCTCGCATCTTCCATTGCTGTGTGTAATGAACTAGACATCTTACTCCTATTATTTTTCTTTTTCTCTTTCTCTGAGTTTTTGGATGATAGCTGATCTGTGTTCCTCTCTTTTCTGTTCTCTTTTTCTTCCTTAGGAAAAAAACTTCCTTCCACTGCTTCTCTGTTGGCTTGCTCTCAGGGATACTTCTAGCATTTTCCACTTCTAGCACAGGTATTTGTAGGCTATCCCTTCCCTCTTAGCCATGCAGTATTTTAATTTTACTGTGTGCTTTCACTTGTTTTCTCAATGGGCAGTGGTGGGATTAAATTAAATTTGTTTATGATTGTATCAGTGCTAATTTCCTCTGTATTGTTTTTACTGTAAAAGTATGTATGGAGACTACAAAATGGTGAGCTACAGGAAAATAAGATCATTTAGTTTTACCATTTAGATAACCGTAGTATATAGTTCTGTTCTGTCTTTATTACTGACTTTTTTTGTATCTGAATTTTC